GTTCCGACAAATGAGCAGCTTCTTGAAGAGAAAATGGCGTTTGCAAAATTTCAAAACGATATCTTAAAAACTGAGGGACTAGTTCGTATATATACAAGCAGACAGACGGACACGGCAAAATCGACTCAGCTCAACATACTTATCATTTAACCTGGGTGTTACAAACTTCGAGACAAACTTAATATACTCTGTTCAGGGTATAAAAAAAAAATATTATAGACTTTCGTTTTTGACACTCCCCGTTAAGGAACTTACGTTGGACCCCAGTTCCCTACTAACATCAAGAACGCATTTTCTACTAGCGGTCAAACAATGGCATAACTACAAATGAATTTCTACCATTAAAATACTCTCACACGGAGGTAGTTTCCAACCTCTAGAACTCCTATTAGCCCATAATATTAAGAAGAAGCCGAAACTTTTTGGATTTACTTCTCTTCAACCATCTAGAGGGTACAGCGAGTATTTTGTCCCTAATGTTTGATTTTATGTCCTCAGGGACAAAAATCTCACACCCAGTATTCCAAATTGAATGAAAACCATACAATTTTGTATATTACTTAAGTAAACTAAGCTTAAACCTATTAACTTAATAATAAAAATACACATAGATTTTTTGATTTTATAATTCAACTTCGTTTTTAATTCTCTTCCTCGATTAAATATCGATCATTCGTTGTATAATTGCAAATTCCGACATACCTAACTGTCAGCATACAGAAATTGAATAATTCATATCCACACAAATGTGTTGTGACGCCTTCTCCATCATACTTATTTGCCTACAAACACATACATATTCGTATTACGCTATTGCTACAAGCGGTAGTCGCGCATGCTCACAAAGCGCCACCTCGCATACTGCGTCTCTTAACAAATATTTATACGCTTTCGCCTTTTATGCTGGCTATATTCAAGTTTAGCCACTTTAATTAATAATGTAATATTTTACCGCCACTTGACAGTCTAATTTGTGATTCGTTTTATAGTCCGACAACGCTCAAATTAACGATAAATTATTTGTGATGTATGTATGTATACCAAATGGACGTTATAACTTTTGCTGTTCATATGTCTGATTTGAAGTAGGTATACATTTATTATTATTATTATTATTTTTAATTCTGCTCAGATTCATTTTGCTGTTTAATTTATTTGTTCAAATTAAATTAGCATTATATTGTTAGCTGAGTGCTTGACTGGGAGTACCTGTTGCGGGACCAAAGCAAGCCGCCCAATCCGGCTAAGCTCATCCACATGCGAGATTTCTCCGCCTGTATTGTCTTTCGCCTTGTTTCGCCTTATTGTGGTTTTTGTTAGCCATTTATTTGTGTGCTGTCAGCCATGTGCCGATTTAAAAACTCATAAATTAAGTTAATTCCGTGTGGGTTTCATTAATTTTTCTTATACAAAAGTAAATAATTAATGCTCTCACTAAACTGTATAAGCAATAAGATATGTTTAGTATTGATATACGATTATAAATGAATTGGAATTAACATATTTAGATAATATTTTTGGTGAATAATGTGCGAGCGCTTTCTTAGCTCATTCCCTGTTTCCAGTTGCCGATTGCTCATCTTACTTTTAAGCGTTTTGAATTTCTCAATTCTCTAGCATTAAATTGCTCAAATCAAGTTTTCTAGTATTTTTTCACCAAAATGGCTATCTTTTATTCTCTCACCTTGTTATCGGTTCAATGAAATAAAACCACAACTTCGTAAGGTTTATTTATAAGCTCATTATGCAAATATTGACTGCAGATTTGTAGATGTTAGCATGATTATAAACAACATTGATTTGAATCTGAAAGGCATTTTATAACAAAATATGGTTACGAATTTGCATTTGACTAATTTTTAAAATATGCACGCATGCCAAATGCGACCACACAAAATCATTAAGTGACAAAGTTTATTGTATTTGACCGCCTTTAAAAACAGGTTAAGTCAACAGGCTTGCTGTGTATTCAGCTAATTTAAATGTTAACATTTTGCCAAAGCAATTTGAGTTCTAAGCGAACGAATATAGTGTTTTAAATTTGTACCAAATTCTTTGAAATAGTTTGTCGTCATAGGTGGTCGGCTTTTAGCCGGTGACAGAGTACAATTTTTAACTGATATAATGCTATTAAAATTATTAACGAATTGTTTAATTCGATCACCTTAATTTTTGATATCAAACAGGTAAAATGCAATGATTTGCCCGCGTTCTGCGCAGAAAGGTATAACAGTGTATGAAACATGTATGTAAGTATATTAAACCCCTTAGAAGTAGTCGACACTCAATTAGTTATAATTGAAAATCTTTCAATAATTATTGAAGTTGTTCGTCTTGGCTTCTTGATGTCACTGTTTTTGAGTTGGCCTTTCTTAAAAGTTGACGATGATCTACTAGCCATTGCTGAGACCCCATTTCATCCCCAGAAAGTCATTGTTTGCTGTGTTCTATGGGCAGAGCGAACCAGTGGTCAAAAACTAAGCCCGCCATAACGTTATAATCGATAGGACCCTATGTTAGAGTTATCATATAGCCAATGAAATATTCAATTTATTGAAGAAAAGCTTTTGTGAGTGCATTATCTTGCGTTATGGGTTTATAGCTTTCCCTCAAAATCATGCAATTTCCTACCGCTTGACTACTTTTCATAGGGTATTAAGGTCCCAATTGCTGCAAAATGTGGTCAAAAATTGCACTTGTGTAAAGCAGCACCTTTGTACATCAAAGCGAAACAAATTTCTTCTCTTCTTCTACTTTTCTTTTTGATTTGTGTCCGAAATATTTATTTTAAAATCAATCTAGAGTAAGCCCGGAAAAAGTCAACTAGATAATCGGAAGTCATTATATTACTCAAGGAAAGACCTAGACCATTTTCTTTCATTTTCAGCTAAAACATTTAATTACGTTAAAATATCACACATTTCATCACTCTAAATGGTTTAAAGTCAGGAGGAAAGTCGAAAATACCTGTACATAGGTTGTAGTGCCAGCAGAAAAGGGTCTGTGCTTGTGGCATTAACTTTTGACATTAACAAGTGCACAACTTGAGCACATATTTTCAATAAATTAGCATATAACTCACACACTGACCGACATATTCAACATAACATATATTGGGCAGGGAAATTCCTGGACTAATCGGGGTGTAACTATCACAAGTTCACTTAACTTTGCTTAGACATCTTATTAATTGACTGATATATGCCCTATTAAGTCAACAGCAGTTTTAACCCGATATCATCCACTTTGGCACCATAACATATTATTTCTGGAAAAAGGCGCTCGTAACTTTTATTAAGATACCTTACAGATACAGACCGATGTACATGTCCGGATTTTCGATATCTAGGGATTTGAGGGTATGGTCCAATTTCGACCATTTTTCGACATGATATGGCATACCTTGGATTAGGTTAAGTTACGCATAGACCAGTTTTGGTACTTTGCCATAATAGATGGAGTTCAGTTACTAGGACCATGGGGAGCAGTCATCCCATGGGTTGCCTGCGCTTGACGTGAATTTTAACAGACTCTGTGGCCTCATTATCAATACTTCCTCAAGTGTATCATAGTGTGGGGACCCCAGATGCTTACAGCGTAGGGCTCAAGAGATGCTCCATTGTTTCCTTCGTGCCTTGCTGTAGATATTTCCTGCAGTCTTCTCCGATCTATCAGTCCCAATCTGCGAACGTGTGTCGCCACCAGTTCCTACAGTCTCTTATATCGAATGCCAATAGGAGTTTTGTGTACTTCCGTTGTACCGTTTTGCACTTGACTTTTGCAATTTCGCACCCAGATATCGCGTTCCATCGGGTTTTCATTTTCTTTACCATGCTTCTTTCCATATCGTTGTATAGACAATGTATGGATTTCCCCAATATTGACCACGTTTTCCGATGTTAACCGTACAACAATCTTGGCAATCTCGACCACAATTTCATTATCCCCTATGCCTTTATGGCACCCAGTAGAAGTGAAGTTGCTTGCGGTTGTCAATACTCTCCACTGCTGTCCTGCTTTCCAAGACACTTCTGGGTGATATGCGATACGAGGTTACTGCGGTTATTGCTGTTTGCTTAAATGTTGACTTTGAAATTGCCTGCAGGTGCATTAGAGGCTAACTCCGCGGCTACCGCAATAGCAAAGAACTCAGCATGGAATATACTGCCGTGGTCTTTTAACTTAAAATGCTGCCAAACTCTGGAGAATATATCTCCGCACCAACTCCATCGTCCATTTTTGAGCTATCTGTATAAATGTTTAGAGTATTGCGCATATCGAACATACCTTTACGCCAACCTTTTTCCTTGTCTACAGGAGGCAGATTTAATAACAGTTCAAGAGCCTCTAAACCCTATCGATTGGCTTCCGGTAGGTGAATTTTCGTAAGTCTGTTCGTCATACCACTGAAGAGCAGAAAATGTCTTACAATAACATGAGAGAGGGAGACGAACTCCAGGCGTGCCGAGCATATGCATTGCTCGCTTTTCTCACTCGTTCTTTGACGTTGTGCTTCCATAACAGTTTGCTGTCCAGGGCTATACCGAAGTGCTTGATAGAGAGTTGTGTCCCATTTGACATACCTTAAATTCTCTAAAGTTTTATTTTGATAATATCATTGACTCTCTAACTGGAAAGTCATCAAAAATTGTCAAGTCAAATAATCCTAATGGAATTATAATTGTGTTGTCCGGTTTCGTTTTCACCATTACCATAGTTTTATGCACCAAACCACCTAATGTGCTGTAAATTCTATTAAATGAATATCCCAAATTATTATATTTCTAGTTCACTTGATGCCGTTTTTTTGTTGCTATTGCGAAATAGCTTGCTTACGAAGTCAAGGCTATACTATGTGACCTCGTCACTGGAGCCAGTTTTAAATTTCAAAAATATTGAATAGTTCTGATTGGATCACTTCATTCCAAAAAGTTCCGAAAAACTTTCATATTGTAGTAGAAAACATTGAAGCCTTTTGAATTTTAAGATGCTTTATTAGTATAAAATGAAGTATTAATGAGAGTTTTAGTTAAGCGTCACAAAGCAAAAAACTTTTTACAAAAAATCAACAAGTATCAGTCCATAACATTATTAGATAGAAAATAACAGCTTAATGACCACCATGGCCGTGACCACTATCATGGCCACCGTGATGATGGATAGCAACACCATGTTCTTGCTTGATGGAGAAACCGCTAGAATGGTGGCCATGACCGTGTTCATGCCCATGACCATGTCCATGACCGTGGCCGCCATCATCGCCTCCTTCATGGGATTCGACCTCAGCGTGACCGCCATAGTAGCTGGTGTGTCCGTGATCAGCAACATGATGGTGTGTGGGTTCACGATGTACTATAGCATGGAAACCGCTATGCTTGTCAGCTGTATAGTGGACAGTTCTCTTGTGACCATCGGCATCAATCAGCTCGTAGTGTCCGGATACTTTATGGCCATCACGTTTTTCGCTTTGTCCTTTGAAATCGCCCGTCTTTTTGTCCTTAACACCATAGTTGAAATGGTATTCGGCATGTGAATCATGGCCATCACCATGTTCGTGACCGCCTCCATGATGACCGTGGTGGTCATGATGATCGTCATGTGAGACTAAGTGCACCGAAGCGTGACTGGAAGCACCGTGGCCATGCCCTTCATGACCACCGTGTCCACCATGTCCACCATGTCCACCATGACCACCATGTCCACCATGCCCTCCATGTCCACCATGTCCACCATGTTCATGATGACCATATGGCGAGGCGTTAACCACTGCCAGTGCGAAGCAAAGTGAAAGGGTAGCGAAAACCTAACCCAAAAGGAGTAATTAAATATTCATGAACATATTTAGAGCTGTTATGCAAATTAAGCTTACCTTAAAAGCCATTGTTCCAAACTTAACTACAAGCTGTGATAGATCTGAGCGAACTGTGCCTAATTCCTAGTTGACCTGCGTTTTTATACCTAAGCATTTTTCTTTCTTTCACTTTAGTTTCGATCGGTTTTGCACCATTTTCCTATCGCCCAACAAGTGTACCTCAGGCCGCTGACCATGTAATTATTCGGTAATTGCAGGTAAGACAACGCCTACCAAACAGCGAAAAGGAAAACTGTGCAAATTAGTTCATCAACCTATATTCACTTTACGAATTTTTTTCATGCTTAGTTAGAGTATGCTAATATATTTGCATACATATTGAATTTTGTTGCCTTTGAAAGTCTCTTCGAAAATTCCAAGAGACCTGAACATATCTTTTCTTCAGGAAACACTGCACTCGCACCGCACAGTGTTATAAAGCGGCTAAAAATTTTTATTTCGCATACTAAAATAATAAGCAAGTGTTCAATGTCTCCAGCTTATGGTGTATTATTGTGTAGAGACTGTTTAGCTTCGTGAAAATTCGAGCTTAAAGTAGTCTACTCAAACCAAACTTAATATGATACTAAAGGCGATATTAGTTTAAATTATTACCCTTAAAGTGAAATTTTTGAAATCAAAATAAGAAAGAGGTTTCGGTCCTATCTAGTCTATATACATATAACGGTTTTCATATACCAACTCAATTTTACTCAGCCATATAAGGATGACAATATGGTGAGATGAATATAGCTCTTCACATTAAATTATTAGAAATTGAGAAAAAAAAAAAATAAATGATACTTGATAACCAACATTTAGGGAACTCACAATATGTCATAACGCATCGGAAAATCACAAAGTCATATATTTTAATACCTGTTTAAAAAAAAATTGTTGTTGGGTTATACAAGTTTAAGATTCAGAACGCTATGTTTTCGATTAGCTAATTTTATGAGACTATATGAAATCCCTAATTGATACGTATTTGTATTATTTCTAATTCAGAAGCTAACACTTCTTGTAACAAAAGGAAAGTCCAAGTAGATTATATGCTGGGAAAGAAATATTCCTTCAATAAAAATCAGTCTTAATGATTTATTTATTACCATTCCCAGCCATGTATCATACGTTTATTTCGAGACACGGAATGAAGTCAGTTGCTCTCAAGGAAGTTGCTTGGAGGAAATAAACTGAATTTCGTGAATGGGATAAATTGTTTTTTCATTACTGCTTACATTATTCTTTGTATGATGTTTGTAAGTCCATACAAAAATATATTTGATGCATCCATTTATACGTATTTACAGTCTGTCAAGTAAAAGCGTGGTCGACTTTACCGACAGTTAATGAAAGATTTCGCTCTAATTCCTTCGCTAGCCGATAGAGGGAAGCTTTGTCCTTGATGTATTGTCAACAAAGGTTCAGTTGTCGTTGATCTTTTGGAAGAGAATCACGTTAAACGCCATGAGTGCTAAGTACACGTCGCGCTACGAGGCTGTGTTCCTTTGCATTCACCCGAAAGGAGAAAGTCGAAGGCATTTACACAGAAGTGGATAAAGCAATATAAAGTGGCTAAAAATGTCGATAATTTACCAGAACGTGGTTCGATAGRAAAAATGAACAAAAAAGATGAAAAAATAATAGTGCATCTGTTTTCGCGGAATTCTGCTTTAACACTGCGGCAAGAACAAGCAAAATTAATAGCAAAAGGTTTAGATATATCTTAGGAAACTACTCGAGCCCTTCTTCATACTCATGATCTGAAATGGTGCAACACAATGAAGAAGCCTCTGTTGACTGAAAAACTTGTGACAAAGCGACTTGCCCAAGCGCATGAGAATATTGATAGAGATTTTGAAAATGTCATTTTTACTGATGAATGTTCTATATGGCAACGTTCTGTCCTCACATAGCCATATAGTATTTCATTTAAATGTCTTTCATGAGCTCTTCTTTTATAATCCTCCAGTTAAAAATGTATCTTAAGAGGCTAAAAAAAAAACAAGTCGCCCGCGTCATTATTACATCTTGATGGAATTGAAAAAAGAACGAGTTCGTATATGGGGGTATCAGGTATCATAATTAAGCACTAAATTAAGATATAAAACTTTCTCTCAGTGACAAGGGTCATCTGTGGACTTGTGTTCGCCCAGAGCAAATACTATAAGAACTCCTACGGACAGTGCGAAAAGGGATGAAATCAGATAACCTCGCTCACTCTTCATATAATGGTACTGTTAAAAACTACATAAACTAATATCTAAATACGCCAGAGACATTAAATTCTACCCCGAGATGGTATGAGAGGCCTTTAATGGAATATATTTGAATTAGAAGGGGGTGCATACTTTTAGGTAAAATCACATATCTTGAGATCCGCCCGACCAATTCCAATTCTAAACAAGTAAGGAAGGGCTAAGTTCGTTTGTCACCGAAGATTCTATACTCCCGCATGATAAAGTGATAATCGAGATTTTATTGAAATCGGTGGAGCACTTCCTGAGATATGGTTTTTTGGTTGACATAGCTATAGCAGTTTTTGAGATATGTAAAAAAAAGTTAGTAGGGGGCGGGGCCACGACCACTTTTCCAAAAAAATTACGTCCAAATATGCTCCTCCCTAATGCGATCCTTTGTGCCAAATTTCATTTTAATATCTTTATTTA